CCACTTTTACTTTAAAATATACACTTATCCTCATATCAGAAAAACCATACACGTACATTCTCCTAATTAGTTAACAATCAATTATTTATTAGTTGACTTTTTACCAGCTCACCCTATTAGTTAAAAACCTAAAAATTAGCCGTATTTAAGAAGAATACGTTTTCTTATTCCATGCTCTCTATTTATAATCCTATACTATTTTCAAAATGCCTACTAAGCGAAGAATTTAAATTTTCATTTTATTTTAATTCTCAATTAATATCAATTTAATTTAAAATATATTTTATGTGAAATATATATTAATTTCTAAAATTAATTTATTATGATGAGATGTCATACAAAAATAAATTGTTTATATTAATAATTACTTTCCAAAAAAATTACACCTACAAGCATTACTTATTCATAAGCATTACTTATGTTGGTAGAAGACTTTGCATATCTGCATTTACAAAAAAGAACGTAGTAACTTATATTTTTTATTATGTTTCAAAGTGATCAGTTAGTTACCGGGTGGTAAGTGAATATATTCAAAATTGAACGGGCTAACTGTAGAATAGGTCAAACAGAATGGTAATTATTGTAATTTACCCTAGCTTTTCTCACATGCAGTGTAAATTTTATCGAGCATCAAATTACCAGCTAACTTCACCAAAACAGTTGAATTACACCCTGAAACTTTGTAAGGCAGCTACAGAAGACTAAAAATAAAAGAGACAATCTTTAAGGAAAAGCCCTAAAATGCTTTAACGAACGCAAGGATTTTGACTGCTCGTTATAGACATTAATTTTCATATGCTAATTATGGACATTTACTAAAAAAACATAATAAGCATTCATAATAAGAAAAAAAAGCCAATTTAAGAAGCAGTTTAATGCTATTAAAATGTCTATCAAGTTTAGCGTAGTGGTCATATACTAGACTCTTGTGAGTTTAACTCCCCATAGGCCATGCTTGCCTTTACCTTCATCAGAAAAAAAGGTAAAACTAAAAGGTCTAAAGGAGTCTTCTGCATTACTAAGCATATCAGAAATGTTATGTTTTATTCTACAACATGCTTACCTCCATACTAATTTCCTCATCAAGCTCCATTGAATCTTCAATCTTCCTATTAGGACATGTTTCACATGTGGATGCCAAGGTAGCTTGTGCAGATAATCTTCTTGGATATCCTGCTCTGTTGTTAGGGCTCCAAATCAATGCCAAATCAGCCCTCATCTTCCGAAAAATTTGAGGCTACATGCAGATATAATTTCCAATTTAAATACAGAAATAAAATTCCAACAGTTAAAAAAGCATAAGACATGATAAACCTGATTCAGTCTCACTAAATATTAGCATTCTATTTAGTTTGTAGAAATTGTGTTGAACAGTCATTAAAAAGTATACAAAATGGCAGTGAAAGTATGATATGAGTTCGAAGATAATAAATATTACATGAAGTTGAAAACAAAATGGTACATTCAAATGTGTATTATTTTTCTTAATTAGAGTCTAATTGAAGCTTTTGTACTGGTCATCTTTCCAATAAAAATTTGTATCTTCTGGCTAAATGGCTTGAAGGTTTCCTTGGAATCTAACTCCATACTTCACAAGGTAATTAGAGCAATTTGGTTTGTGTCGAATGGCTGAGATTCCAAAGTTAATGTTTTAAGGGGGAGGAAAAAAAAAGTCCCTGGAAAGGTATCTCAATTCTTTATTATTCTTTCTTACCCTTGCTCAAACCCAGGACTGGTGATGGTTCCAAGTTTCTTTTTTTCAAGGATCCTCCCTCGACTCTACAATTCGTCCTAGACCTACCATACTGCCACTTCTTTTGCGGATTACTCTAATAGTTCCATTTCTTGGAACAGTCTTTCTTCGAATTTTTTTAATAGATAAATAATTATTATTTAAAAAAAAAGAGAGAAGGAAAAAAATCACGGAGAATAAGGCATACTCCATGAAAATCAAAAGAAGAACATGCAACTGAGAAGAGGTCATCCTGTGGGAGACCAAATAATAGCATCCCAATGCCAAGAGCCTAAACGTTAACTCTTGATATTAGGTTATAGACGAGTGTACGAAGAGGGTTGGCTAAGATGAGAAAAGAAATAGAGAAGCGAAGATGAGGAAACTCCGGAAAAATTGGGATAAATTCTTCAAGACTGACTGATGATTTGAGTTCTTGATCTCTTAGTATAAATTGTCATACATCAATCCTCTAACTGATTCCTACTTATTCAGTTAAGTTACTTCTAAAATAATAAAAACAATCTTCTAATCAATTATAACAGAATAACAACTCCGCAACTACTTAAGAAAAGTAGTTCACACGACACTTCAGACGACAAGTTCTCACACAACAATGATACAAAATAACAAACTACCTAGTGACTCATTAAGAGGAACAACTTGCATCGAGTACTCGAGTGACCTTTTGCACATTTCAAGTGGGTTCCTCTTGATGAGTCACATCACCAACCTTCCCTTGATGCTTCCTCCGAAAATACACCTCCAATGATTTACTGGTACTGACACAATTATGATGAATCTCAGTGAAAGCATAGTCGTAACAATGTCTAATGAGCTTTGGCCTATAAAGTAGCCAAAAACGTTAATCTATCACACTTTCCTGAATTGACGAGTGGCAATCATAAAAAATCCTCTGATTCTATTCAAGCTATAAAATCCATAACCTTGCAAAAGAGGCCCTTTTTCGAAGGGGTTTTGCCCCTACCCCATACTCCCTCCCACTGAATGCTTGTGTGAATCAAGCATTCCATCGTCAAAGGAGTAACCTAACATAAACTGAAACAGTAGTTAATTTTCCAAGCCATAAAATACATAGCCCTGCAAAAGTGGCCCCTTTACAAAGGGGTCTTGCCCCTATCTGTAATCCCTCTCCCAGAATGCTAGTGTGAATAAAACATTCTACTTTGGTAGGAGTAACCTAACATAAACTAAATAAAGCAGTTTACTTTAGTCCAAAATGTGCAGGCTGTCTCACTATGTATGAACAAATGGGAATGTGTTTCCTCTTCTCTATAGCACATGATGCATATGCCTGAAGACAGAGCACGACTGGATCAATGGATATGTAAGATCTTATTGGTATTAAGTCTTTGATAAGTAGCAGTCCTTGCAAACACCTTCATTGTTAAAGGGACTAGAGCTTTCCAAAATTCAATGGCATCAAAGAATGGATGATGTATGTGGGGTTTAACAAGGTAATGGGAAAAGGACTTGTTAGTATGAAAGTTTAAGGACTCTAATGTCCAAGTTGTGTTGTCAAGAAGTGATGCAAGATAAACTGGCTACATAGAAAGTCAAAGTTTCGGGTTACTCTTCCCTCCATGGTGGATGCGAAATATAAGATGAACATTATGTTAGAAGATAAGCTAAACAACCAAAGAAATTGA